ATGTAGGTAGGCTCTATTCACGTTCTGTTGGCATATGCCTTGCTTATGAAAAAAAAAAAAGAATAAATAAATGGTTTGCGCCGAAATGTCAACAGAAATATATATTTTTTAGTTGATTATGTTGCTTTCTAAAACATGCATCAGATCTCTTCTGCAGCTTCAAGCCGCAAATGGGATCCATGTTTTCCAAAGAACATAGCAGTCAATTCTCGCGTCAAATATTAACAGTCGCAGAAGTTACGTCATAAGCTAATGTCACTCGCTATTTCATCGTATACAAATTGGGTTTTGAATCTTTTACCTGTTTGCATTTTATTTCTGAATTTGTTTCCTACCACCTACTTGAAAACAGGTGAAAGCGCTTCATTACCTTCATTCTAATTCCCACTCTTTGTATCTAAAGGAAAACAATATGCTCTCTCATTCAGCTGAAGGTGGATGCACAGCTTCGGTTCCAAAACACAATGGTCACCATGCTGGGAAAACTGGAGGAGGTAAAAGGGGCCTTCTGCGGAGACAACAACGTTCTTGAACATTGAAGACCATCCTCCGGTCTCGATTGGACAGAAGTTCCCTCATCACCAATGGTACGTGAAAAAGCGGATGAAAAAAAACAGAAATATAATTTTGACGCTGACGCAATTTTTGAACCATTGCGGCTTGCAGAACGACCGTACCCCTGACGAAAGAGTTCCAGAACCCAAGACTTTCTTCGGTTCAGAGAAAGAGATTTTTTCTGGGAACCGGTCAGTGAAACTCTCCGCTGGCATGACTCTGGAGGAGGCACTATACTCTGTTTGATACTTAGCGTGCAACGCTGTCAAAGCTACTGGCGCGAGCGTGGGGCTTGATCTCGTTGATCACTTGCGCGCGTTCTCGCGCAAACAAAACCATAGGTGAAGCCACGCGCTCGCGCCAGTTGCTTTGACAGCGTTGCACGCTAAGTATCAAACAGAGTATAGTGATTTGCTTATGGGTGTATTACATAACAGGACTCTCCTACCCTGCGGCATATGGACAAACCTTTGGACTCCTCCAGTGTCTGCTTGTTGAAAACGACTTCGATTCAGTTCGTGTCGGGGAAGCTTAGAAAATTGTCTATGGCCGTTCAAAAACAACAGAAATTCTGAGCTGATGGCAAGAAACGCCGAGTAATTTGTTTTTAATGTTATGAAGCTGGTAAACTACACTCTAAACAAAAAGGCACAGGAATCTACTTTCCCAAACAGCACTTGGATAGCCAATCCCCGTACCTCAAGGAGGCAGCTCAGCGATTCACGATGCCGAAACGTAAGATTAGACCAAAAAACCCAGTCTGAGTTGTGACATTAATCAATACAAAACGTCACGCTTGTATTGCTTAGTGTCATAACTCAGACTGCATTTTTTTTGGTATAATCACATTTTTCGGCATCTACATTCGCTGAGCTGCTTCCATGAGTTTTGGTGATTGACTTTCCAAGTGTTGTGCGGAAAAGTAGGCGCACGGCTTTTTTTAGAATGTATTCTAATTTTTTGTGTTATCCACTGAAAAAGAAAAAACTTCAGCACGGTTGTATTGTTATTGCTTATGATATGCAAAAGGAGTCACTTTGCAGCACGAAATTTCTTTTGTGGTAGTTTCCAAGAAACGCCGATTTCTGGCGTCGTTCTAACGTCTTTTTATCCGTATCTGTTTATCAAACATAATATACAGATCATTTTTCAATTCCGTTACGCAGCAGAAAATACCTTTGATTAAACAATATCAGCGAAACCGCGAGAACTGCATTACTGCAGTGCAGCATGTCAGGCAGCTGTGCATGAGCACCACCATAACCGACCTTCAGTTTTTGTTTCCTCTTGTTCTGTTTGCTCCACTTCATCATTACCACAGCAGGGCAGGTCATTTCCATTTTAAATGCCAGTGTGTCCTTCTCCCCAGCACAGGCCCTTGTGGAGCCTCGTCAACGTCCGCTTCAGTGGCTTGGCATCTCGATAAGGCAAGAGAAGGTCGGCTATGGCGGCTCAATCTGGCGCGCGCTGAAAGCGTCTATACATCATACAAAATGCATTCTGCAGGCATGTTCCAAAACGAGTCACCGCGACATCCGTGTTTTGTATGCCACGTGACAAAGCTACCTCTTGAAGTATTTGCCTCGTGGCGTACAAGACACGGGTGTCGCGGTGACTCGTTTTAGAACATGGGTGCAGAATGTATTTTTTGTGATGTATAAGCAGTGTGACACCGACTTAAGGGGGACTAGACCCCTGCATTTTAAGCAGGCCACCAGGGGTGGTGTCCCACTTATTTAAGAGGGAGCATCTCCATGTAATATTAAGAGGTCTGTCGCCCCCCTTAAAGTTGAGTGGGAAAAAAATCGAAGAGATGCCCCTCTTACTAAGTGGGACCGGGCTTATAGTGTAGGCTCACTTCCAGGTGGCGCAGCCTGTACTGCGTGCCACGCGCTCCTTTGCTTGCATTTCATTTTTCCCCGAGAGTACAAGTGACTCGTATCAATCCTGTACTACGGAACAGTGTTTCAAATAAAAAGGGCTGCACTCTCACTTGGGAAGCCACTTATTGAAGTATTTGAGTAGCGATAATACCCAGAGATACTGCAGTCATTAGGAAGATCCGCTTCACCTCATGCATGTATCGTAATTCGGGAATGTTTTAACTACAAAGAAAGCTTTCCATGATGACGTTGATGTCCAGCACAGTTCCTCTGCATGAGAATTCATAAATGTAGCTGGTTTGCTTGTGGGTTTCGGTGACACTTTGGGGTGTCAACCATGGCACTGGTTTCGGCTGGTTGAAAGACCATAATTCCTTGTTGTAATATCTTGAAATTACCTGGTGGAAAGTTGGAAATGAAGTTGGCTAGCAAAACAAAAAGTATTAAACTTATACCCGTGCCACACGGGCAAATCGAATGCCATTTACAACGAATGACATTTGAGCGGACGGCCAATCAGCGCTCGACACTCCGGGCGTGGCGCATTCCACGCGCCACAGATTGAGAGCTGATTCGCCGATCACACAAATGTCATTCGTTGTAAATAGCATTCGAGTTGCCCGTGTGGCACGGATATAAGGCTCCGATCGTTATAGGTTTTTGAGGAGGCCTTTTTCCAATCACTGTGTGGCTGTGTGATCGCCTTCCCTTTTTGTCAGAATTTGATGTGGTGGCAGTGTTGGCAACAGTAAAGCAGAAAGCTGCCACCTTCGAGGTACTGAGGCCCAGGGCTTAGATTGAGGCACCGCCGACGCCCGGTGTGGCATCCTCTCATCGTCGTCGTCTTCCTGTTTTTTCTTTTTTTTTTTCTTTCAGCAAGTCTCAGCTGAGACGCTGTATAGCAAGCCGGCCAAGAGCAAACTGTCACCGAGACGCCGAGACTGAACGCTTCTATTTCACGCTTCTAATGTCGTTTCCAACATTCTGACATCACCGTCTGCTGATTGGTCGACGCTGTGTTGCACATTTAGTTTACACCGTATCCGCGGGAGGAGTATTCGGCGTTGGCGACGGCCTTGGCTCCGCCCACAGGCAAAAATTTCCCGAAATACGGCTCTTGGGTTAATAGGGTAATCGTGGTCTTTCCCAGTTGTGTCTTAATTCAGTCAGAACAAGTACTTTGACAGTGGCCGTTGGGTCAGCCTCCACCTAGGCCATTGCTGACCGGCAACCAGTTAGCCCTAGAGACACTGTATATGGCAGCGTAGCTGCGCTGCCATATATACAGTGGCTCTTGGTAGCCCCGGTGCACCAGGCTCTCCAAGAAGCTGCCTCTACTCGCGAGAACATTACCTTAGGAGTGGGAGAAACATTGGTGCTGTGAGAAAAGTAAGAAAAAAAAATCAAAGAGTAGTTGAGAAAACCAAACGAGTTGGGAAGCACCCTGCGGTAAGGGCACCAAGAAAGAACGCACACCCATTTGGTTAGGGAGAAGAAGACAGCACGGAAGTGCACGTGCCTTTCGATACTAGTCGCATCTTTCGTTGTGTGCTTCTTTTGTTTTAGATATTGCGTTTGTGCGCAGTATAGGGGGTATTCACTGGCCGCCATATTTGAGGTCACTCTTTAGAGCGCATGCTCAGAATGAGCTCGCATTAATAGGCTGCCAAGACCGGCAATCTTGATGGTGCGGGGTGCACGTTGCAAAATAACTGTGGAAGCTCGCCATCAGCACGTGCTCAGCATTAGCGCCCACAAATATGGCCGCCAGTGAATACACCCTATAGTTTGCCTTCATTTATGGGCAAACTTTGAAAGTTCGAAACCCGTAAACACTATTTGGCGCGCACAGAAAGATGTCAGACAATACAAACTCTCGACGCAGTGATCGACGAATACGGGGCACAACCCCAAGACAGGAACGTCACCTTGACAGTGTCTGTCACAATCTCGCGTTCGTCTTTTAATAGACCCTTTCAGAAATTCAGTGCCATCTGGTGGTTCGTAAAGCAGTTTAGGTTTTGCCCTATCAATGGCGGAAATGAACTTGTATCGGCACTGTCACTTTCGCAAGTCGACGGCACGCGAGGAATTGTTCAGTGTGAGTTCTTTCTCGATCACTTTCAGGTCGATGGTGACCAAGAACGTGCATTCAGAACAAAGCTCCAACCCACTGAGATGCCTCGAGAAAATTCTATACACCAAAGTGCTTTAAAGCCGATTGTGTGCCACGACAGATTGACTGAATCTGAACAATTAGAAATAAACGCTTACGTAGCTCTTGTGTTCCAGCCCTACTTCGCTTCGTACTGACCCCCGAACGTACAGGCCTCGCAATATCCGCTTAGGAGCATCTTCAACGTCTTCCTTTATCAGTCACTAGAAGGCCGCCATTCGTATGGCACAGATGCCGTTCCACAGATGATGATAGTGATCAAAGTGGCCAGACTGAATTTCGGAAAGGGTCTATTGTCAGATTGAGTGGCCGACAGTCAAAGCAGTGAAGTTTACCTTTCTACGAAATATTCTTTCGCGGAAGTCACAACCATATTTTATCCTCACCGTCTGACAAGATCAGATGGGATGCCACAGAAACTCCCCCGGCAAAAACGACGCTGTACAAAGCGATCATGTCTTCCAGGGAATTGTCCACATGTACCAGGACCTTGTCGCCTTTCTTAACGCCGTGTCTCTGGAACCCAGCGGCATATCGCTGACACATCTTGAGGAGCTCTGCAAAAGTGATCTCTTCGTCGTTCCAAACCTGCAATATGTTTACAATTCAGACTTCATCCGCGACACCCTTGTAAGGCAATACCGTCTAGAAGACAAGAGATGCGCAGGACGCAATCGTTTAGGCTAGGCTCCATGGAACGAATATGCTGCGCCACGTGACGTCCCATGACGCCATGGTATGACGTGACACTGTGAACTTTATTTTACGGACAGATTTGGTCGGGAACTTGGCGTCACGTGATATGACATCGCGCAACCTGATATCAGTTCACGTCCGGCACATTTCGCCGCTAAATTTAACGAAGTTGACGTCACTCGACGTGATGTCACGTGATACTGTGACGTCACGCGACATCAATTTCTCCGCTAATGCACTTACGGACGGACGAATTCCTGGGATAGGGGGTTCCATTCAGAAAAGCACGAAAATAACTTCCCCCAGTTTTACGCAAGAGGTGCTCGGGGGTGTTACGATTATGCGGGCATTAAACCCTTGGAGAGCATCGGCGAGATTACAGAGGGTTGGCTATCGTGCTCCAGCGCGAAACTTTTCTTCGTCGCTGCGTCTCCGCAGGAAAGAGTGAGTAGAAAACAGGCTGTGCCAGAAAAAATGTTACCAACCCCGTTTTTGCGGGTAGAAGAGCGGCGTCAATTTTAACAATCGCGCCGGTGACGACAGTGGTGCAATGGTGCCCAAATGAACGCCAGTGGCGTGGAGAAAGCTCTATAGTAATTCAACCAATAGCAGCATTGCACGTCTTTGGATAGCAAGAATTCACGTCGGCGCACACAACCAGCTTACTATGCCAAAAGACTGAAGAGCTATTTTTTCTGCTTGTTTTGTTGCTAAGACTATACACTCGAAAGGAGTGGAGTCCAACATGCACTTAAGTATATAAAAAACAACTAAGACGACGGGCTGTGAAGTCCGGTGTATTGTTTGTAGTTCAGTGATCAACCGTTGTGGTGGTGGCGACATTCGACGTCCGGGGGAGGTGTATATAAGACGTAGAGGCAATAAAGTGTTTAGCTGAGTTTGAGACGTTTTCTGTCCCTTTTTCTTTCTTCTTCATGATTTTCCGTTTTTCAAACCAGAGTCTCAGGTTTTCAATCATCATGTATAACTTACACCAGCTCGCCTTAACTTTAACCGTTTTCTCATTGTCATAACATGTTTGTTTAAGGGTAGCAAAAACTGGAGGCGCCACTGGAAAGGATCAGGAATGTCTCGGGGAGCGCGACATTGGGGCGCCCGAGACACCGGTCACCTCAAGCTCTAAAAAATGCTTAGACATTTTTTTTTATGTAACATGTTTTTTTTTGTATGCGTGTGTCCAACGTCGTGAACACGGGACACGTGCGAACACGAGCAGTTTGTTTGTGGCGGCGGGCCAACTGACCGAACTCTCCCAGCTTCCACTCTTTTATGGAGCCTGGAGCGTGTGTCCGACTGGTGCGTTTAGCGCCCTATCCTGCCCATGCATCAAAAGTGGCTCTGAAGTGGCAACAAGTGACGTCACAGGAGCCGGAGTGTCACGCTGTTGGATGTCGCGATCCTGGCGGTTGCTCTTAGAAATGCATGCGAAAAGTACGAGCGATCGCGAGTGTCGCTGTCAACACAGTGACCCAACTTCTGGCTGCCGAATTTTTCGTGGAGTGTCATACTGGAGAGAGACCTCCAGCAAAACAAGCGTCTGCCACGCCCACCACCGCTGCTGGGACTTCGCCAGGATCGCGGCCGGTGATAACATTGCACTTGTATGACGTCTTCCGGCGGAAATGGAAAGACCAGTTTTTTAGACTCGGTAAACACAACAGTCGCAGACGTATTCCAGGAATCATAGTTACACCCCTGCCACACGGTGAAATTTGATATCACTTCCATCGACTAGCATTGAGTCTGTTCGATCTGTCCAGAAAGTTCTGAACAAGTTCTTTCCGAGTTCAGAAGAGTGCGGGGGTCGTACACATAAAGCTATGATGTTGCTAAAGGTTGTGGAGATCTGGCTGTGCTCCCCCGCGCCGACCCTTCGGGCCCCAAATCCCGGCAAAAGCTTAACGCGCCATGCCTCCAAGTTTCGTCATGCCTAGGGGGAACTGCGATGGCCTCGCGTACCACTAGATCCGGGTACGCCGCTCCCCTGGGTCAACTGACGTCACGCAACTGGCTGCCCAGAATAAAGGAGCGAAAACTCGAAAAAGGGACACGGGACAAAGAGGTCTCTCTCTCGGACGGCGGCTCTCTCTGACGCCGCCTCTCGAACGGCGGACAGCAAGGGAAGTGTGCAGCGGTAACAGGCAAGGAGGACGCTGACGCGGGAATCGACGGGAGATGGACGCTGGCGCGGAGCGGTGCGGGCGCGACGTTGAGTTGCGGACTCGACCAACGGACCGGACAGCGACCCTGGACGACGTCGTCCCTATGACGCGGTGTGGACGACCACCGCTGGGACACGGAGCAGCTGCAGTGACAGCGGACTTTACCCCGGCCACGCTGATGACCGTTCCCCGATCCCGAAAACACCCAGGCAATAAGTGAGTGAATAAACCCTTTTGCCGAGAGCGAAGTATTGCTGTGCAATGTTCATCCGGGGACAGGGTCTGAGGGAATCGCAGCTAGAAGCCCGCATAAACTGGCGCCGCAATGTGGGGACTGATACTTGATCAGGCTGGCATTTCGATTCCTAACCTGTTTCCGGTTGAATTGGGGCACTGTTTCACGCTCTTTTGGAGGGTCATCTTCGACGCGGGAACAGTGCACGAAGTTTCGTTGCGGGCACGCCGCACGAAGGTCCTGACAATATCGCCTGCCTGACGAGGAGGCGCGTACCTGGACCGTTGTCTCTAGGCTTAACCCTTTTTCCCAGCTTGTCAGGAATTCAGGAATGTTAGGAATGTCAGCTTGTCAGATCGGCGAACAAGTTCGCGTGTTGAATTGCCGACCATGGAACAAGTGGTCGAAGGCCACCATCGTGTCGTGGAGTGGACCCGTCTCCTACAAGCTACAGGTAGAGCTGAACTATGGCACTTTCATTTGGCGTCGTAACCAAGACCACATCCGGTCCGATGCTGACCAAAGCGCAGATACACCATTTCCTATACAGGTATGCAGAGTTGACGTTTTACCTCGAACGTCGGAGCTACCAAGCCCATTTTAACCAGCAGTAAGATCAAGCACACCGGCTTCTGGCAACATAAAAGGGCAAGCAGCCATGACAGCAGTATGCCGGTACCCAGCAAGAGCGCCCTCCTGCGCGCTGTTCGCCGCAGGTGTGAACTGGAACTTGGGGCGAACGTCACAGTTGCGTGGGGAAAGTGCGGTGTTTGGCTCAAATTAGGTTGACCATCCGTCCCGCGACTCGCGGGACTGTCCCGCATTTAGGACTCGTGTCCCGCGTCCCGCGGGAAATTCCAAAATCTTCAAAATGTCCCGCATTTCATACTGTCGTAAATTTCACTCGGCAACCCATGGTGCTGCCGAACAATGCGGCACGGGGAAGCGCGGAGGTCGCTGGTAATCGTGTGAATCCCAATAGTCCCCATTGAAAAATCTCATTTGTATGAGAAATTTCTGTGTCGAATAAACATATATGTATCATAAAAGAAAAATAAGAACCATATAATAACTATATAAAACATATAAGAACCATATAATAAACTTGTGAGAAGTTTCTTAAAAGTTTCTTATATGGTTCTGTGGGAGCCGAGATTGAAGGACGAGGCAGAGAGCACGTGACAGGCGGCCGGCGGAGAAGACACGAGCTGGCACGAGACATTGCGAGCGGAGCGAGGCTGGAAGCTGGACAAAGAACGACGGAGCCGGGGCTGCCTAGCATGGCCCATAACGAACCCCGGAGCGGTCCACCAGCGAGGTCTGGAGCAAGACCGGTGGAAACGGCGAGCCCGGGCCATATGACCTGGGCTATGACGATCCCGGGGTGGTTCCGCAGCGAGACTCGGGCATTGATAGCCCGGGACAGCCAGCCTACGCAGCGCTGGCGTGGGAAAGGCGATCCGCAGGCCTGGACACGGACCCCGACCGTGAGCTCTGATCGACGGGCGACAACAAAGGTCGGCGGGCCTGGACTACCGGCTCTCGACGACGGGCAACCGAGAGGTACAGTAAACCCATTCGCTGTCTTCTCGTTGCTGTATGTCACTCCCTGGGTGGCGGGCGGAGCGCATACCGATCGGGCGGGATTATTAGTATAGAGGGACCTCCCCCGTAAAGAACCCCCACATTAAAATGGCGCCCAACGTGGGGCCCGTTCAGTATGCCTCTGCTTCTAGTCGTCCCCAGGGAGACCCATGGATTCGTTGAGCGGGTTGTTCACTAGCGCTAACGATGCCCGTTGAGACAAAGTGTATTGGAATTATGGTGACTTGTCTCAACAGCAGAGCTCAGCAGGTGTCTCCTCGAATCGAGTACTTAAAGGTCTCGAAGGACGAGTTTGCGGACGCGCGTTCTCGGGTACCCCAGAATAGTGGTTGGCAGAAGGTGACCCAACCGGGGGGAACACGAGGAGCGCGGTTAAGATGTAAGAAAGTCGTCTTCGGAGGCAGAGGAGAGCCACGGCATGTTCGCTGGAAGGCAGGATAGCGACTGGCAGGAGGGAACACAGCCAGGACTTATTCCATATTTAGGATTTAGGCTTGGAGTGATGCGGTAGGCAAGCAAGCGCTTGTCAAGGCCCGGGGTGCAGATGGGGTTTTGTCAGTGGGTGTCGGAAAGATTGCGGGAATTGCAGTCGACACCGGGAACACTGGCGGTCGAGATTGTCAGCGGGTGTTGGGTAAACTGGCGTAAATTGCAGTTGACACCGGGAACGCTGGCAGGCGAGTTAAGGAGCAGTATGATTTGTAACCGCTGGGCCAAGACGGCTAGTTGTTTCGCGTCACTCCAACAACCGACGAAAGGCAGAGGGACGACTCTCCCTTGAGGGGGTCGTTCCGAGAAAGCTGCGAAATGTTTTATATGATACTTTTTCGGCTTCACTCTGGCCGGTCGTGGCAGTGACAGCAAGACTTTTAATAAGTTATGTCGCGTCACGACCTGGCCGGGGACGAGGCGGTAGGCATTTAGGTGGCTTGTAGTTGTCCAGCTTGCCTTGAGGCGTGAACGGTTTAAGCGGGCTTGCTCGCTGAGCTACCGCCCCCTCCGAGGACCGAGCAGTCCCTAGAGCTCGTATGCACGTGGACGGAATGGGACGCTGACGCTTACATCGAGTAGCACATGGTATATGTAGCCGTTGCGGAATTGCGGGTATGGTATTTGGTCATCCCGCCACAGGCTTTGGATCCCTTCGATTGCGCAAAAGATGGACTAGGTTTACGCCATCGTTACCTGTTCTGAAGGAAAACTCACGCTTTGAGCAACGCAGCTAGTGGTTTTGCCGCATCGCTTGCTCCGAGATGAGAAGGGCACCCGAGGTACAAAGACGCGTGCGTCGTGTCTTACTTCTAGGCTTACTCGGGGAGATACAAACGAGGAGGCTTGCCCGGTTCACATCGCTGACTTGAAAGGATACTACCGTTGTCGCGATGGGGAAGACGTATAACATGAGGTTGCGGTAGGACACAAGAAATCCCCTGTTCTTGGCGACCCAGGAGCGAGCTCTAGAATGCAGACTTGCTGAGTTAGCCGCATGGTACATGAACCCGTCGGCAAGCTATGTGGCGGTAGAGGCTATGGCCACTGCCACAATCTGCGGCAGAGTATTTGTTCGCTGTGTGTTGTTTTTACAGTTTGTTCTGTGCAGAATAGCTTCTTGGAAAGACGGCCGTATACAGACGGCGTAACCCAGGAAGCCCACCGGGAGGGAAGACGGGACCATTCGTTTTCCCAAGTGCTCAGGGTGGCTGACAGTTGTTCGGCCTGACGAATGGTTCAGGCGGGCAGTTCTAAGCCCGCTGTGACCTCTAAGCGGAACGGGGCAAGTCCGTCTGCGTCGGCCGGACCAGCTTAGAGCAAGCCCCCTGCTGCATCGCGGTGAGTGGGACAGCGAGCGACAGACAGGTCGGCATTGTCTGCCGGCTTCGCTAGCCACCACCACCTACGCCGCTTTCGGACGCTGCAACGTGGCCACTCCAGCAACAGCAACAGCGGCCGCCCATGAAGCTCCCCGGCTCCCTGAAGCCCATGAAGTCCCCCGAAGTCCGGGCCTTGAGGGGGGGAGAGTGTGGGAGCCGAGATTGAAGGACGAGGCAGAGAGCACGTGACAGGCGGCCGGCGGAGAAGACACGAGCTGGCACGAGACATTGCGAGCGGAGCGAGGCTGGAAGCTGGACAAAGAACGACGGAGCCGGGGCTGCCTAGCATGGCCCATAACGAACCCCGGAGCGGTCCACCAGCGAGGTCTGGAGCAAGACCGGTGGAAACGGCGAGCCCGGGCCATATGACCTGGGCTATGACGATCCCGGGGTGGTTCCGCAGCGAGACTCGGGCATTGATAGCCCGGGACAGCCAGCCTACGCAGCGCTGGCGTGGGAAAGGCGATCCGCAGGCCTGGACACGGACCCCGACCGTGAGCTCTGATCGACGGGCGACAACAAAGGTCGGCGGGCCTGGACTACCGGCTCTCGACGACGGGCAACCGAGAGGTACAGTAAACCCATTCGCTGTCTTCTCGTTGCTGTATGTCACTCCCTGGGTGGCGGGCGGAGCGCATACCGATCGGGCGGGATTATTAGTATAGAGGGACCTCCCCCGTAAAGAACCCCCACAGTTCTTATATGTTCTCATATATCTATGTAGTTCTTATAAAGTTCTTATATGGTTCTTATGTGTTCTTATATATCTTGTATGATTCATAAGTGTTTATTAGACACAAGAGATATCTCGTACAAATGACTTTTTCAGTAAGGGTACGACATTTTCTATCCAAGAATTGCGGGAAGCGACCGTCGTTCTTGGAGGAGAGCCGGACGCGAATGATCCGTTGTGCCTCTCCCCTTGGTGGAAAAATATTCTAAGAAAAATTGCTCGCCACTAGTTAAAATAAATAATTTTGTAAATATTTCAAAATAGCTGTAAATGCAAAAAAAAAATTGTTGTGGATTTTTTTTTTTTATGAAGACAAGGCAAAAAGTTTGCAATCTACAACGGTCGAAAAAGAACGTAATGTTAAACTTTATAATGCAATTGAAAGCAAAAGTGCAAGCGAGCTGGACAAGAATGACAAAAATAATCCCTGGAAAAGGGGAACAAGAGAGACAAAGGACAAACACAAATCTTTTGTTTGTGTTTGTGCTTTGTCCCTCTTGTTCCCCTTCTCCAGGGATTATTTTCGTCATGTTGAACATTTGTGTAGGATCATGGTGATAAAAGTAAGTGGACAGGAAACAATGACCCTAAAAAAGCTTACTGTTTCTTAGTTTCATTTGATGCATTGAGTTCTGCTGCAGTTGATTTTTATGCTTTCAACTTCGACACATTGAATAACATATTTGCCATAAAAAATATATCACTGGAGTGAAAATTATTTTAGTCTAACTGCTGCAATCCAGTTTGCAGGTGTATAAACAGCAAATGACATTAAATATGTTAACAGAGCCTCGCTTCATAGTGTGCGCGTTCATAGATCTCTCCGCTTGACTCACTTGACGCAGTGAGTCACGTGACGTGTGATACATGGTTAATCATAGTGACAATACAAAAGCGCCACGAAAACAAACAATTTATTATAAATTGCAATTCTGTATATGACGATTTGATCAATACATAGATATAAAGCTGGGAATTTTTTATTCCCATATTTTCGTTTTGTGATACTAACAAAAATTCAAAAACTATTACTTTGAACCGGTTACCGTTATATTTTTTTCTGGTTCAGGTCCAGTTTCAATTCCCAGATGGCGGCGAAGATTTCGGTTCGGTTTCGTTCCCGTTCGGCTAAAAATAAAGGTTGGGTTTCGGTTCAACACCCTGGTTACATTTACAAATTAGAGAGCCTCAAATGTAACGAATTACCGTTACTAATTACTTTTGCTGGTAATTAACGGATTACTTCACCCGTTACGCTAGAAATTACTTTCACGTTACTTTTTGTAATTATCAAGAAAACTATAGAAACAATTTTGATGTTTTCAAGAATGTTCTGCAGCATTACTTCCCATTTTTCGTACGCCCGTACTGCAGTAATCATTGTAAAAAATAAAATATGGTACTAAAGAGAAATAATGTACGTGCACTCCATTAACCTGTAAGCTGACAAGGCAGCGAAAGCTGCAACCATGTCCGCCATCCCGCTAGCTTACGGCGACCGGAAATGATTCCTGGAGTTCTTCAAAAGAAAGCTCGCGGTGATCATGCTCAGGAGCAGCGTCTACCTCCGCTAAAAGATCAAAAGGACAGCGCCTACTCGGCCTTGTGTCTTTATCTATGTTTTTCGCATATTTGTATATGCCTTGCACGTTATTCCAGTGGGTCTAGTGACCGGACGCAAAGAAAACATTGTGTTTTCTTTTCCGTTGTTCTTTCGTTGAGCTTGCTGCCTGTATGCTGCTGGATTGCCTGATCATATTGCTCCAGTTTCTGGAAATATGTTCATATATTTAAAAAGTAACGAGTGATTAAATTATTCCCTCGCTAATATTTGTAGCGAAAATAGATTACAAATTACGACCACAAAAATTAACGTAGCAATTACAAAAGTACTTTAAAAAGTAACGGATTATAAACAATCAGTTACTTGAAACGGACTACTTCCCAAGTCTGGGTTCTGGCGCTGATTTTTGCGCTTCAGTTTAGATCGAGGCTGAGTATTTTTGACACCCTATGTATAAAAAAAGCACCGTTAAATTAAACATGTGTTGTCAAGCTTACCAGAGCAGTTCGGGAGCCATATTGCTCGAGGCAGTGTTTCACCGCCTGGTAAAACGTCATTTCCGGCACAGGTTCCGATGGGTATGGGGAATAGACAATGCCATTTTCAATCCGGGCCTTGAGTGTCATTTTTTTCTACACGTGTTTTATTAGATTACCTTGGAAAAAAACAAGAAAAAAAAAGTGGTCGGTGCATAGGTTTACTATGCCGCATAAACATCCCTAGAACTACGGCCGGGGCTGAAGAAACGTCCACGGACTGCTGCCGCATGACGATTTCGGGTGAGCAAGAAGCGAATGCCCGTGGCTTGGAGTCCGGTGGAGCCAAATGTTTCTTTGGTGAGTTCCTTTAAAGGGATACTTCAACGAAGTTTGAAATACGCCCGTCGTGTTCAGAAATAGACTGAATATAATTCTCAATATACGTAAATCACAATCGCAGGTTTTATTGAATTCAATTATAATTATAAACTTAAATCGCTAGCCTCACCCTTTTCGGTGTTAGACTGGTGGCAGCTGATAAAACCCGTTTGCTCTACTGACGTCTAACCCCTGGTTAGCTCAGTTGGTAGAGCGCTCCACCTATAATGGAGAGGTCCCGGGTTCGATACCCGGACAAGGCGGATTTTTTCGGTCGCGCACCAGTCACCTAGCTGTGTTTAGAAATATGTGTTTGTCCTTTGTACCTCTGTTTCCCTTCCCCAGGGATTATTTTCGTCCTGATGGCTGTATTTTTCGGTATAAACGGCCCGCCCTGGCAAGCGCTCGGAGAGGAGCCAGCGGAGAGCACGTGCCATCCGGCGCAATGGTGACGTAGTTTGTCTCGGGATGAGCAAAGCTGCGGGGAGGCTAACGTTGTCAGGACAGAGGTCCTGACGACGTCAGTTCTTGGACTCTTTGGTACAATGCGCGATTTGTGAGCTGAGGAGGAAAGCTAAGGAGGAAAGTGTTAAAATTCCAAGGAGTGGCGCTGCTCCGATGGACCTTGCTACGTCATGACTACGTAGCAAGTTCACCAACGTTGCTAGATTACATCCCAAATAGGCTCCACATGCATCCACCAGGTGCGCATTCAAAAGATCGTTGAATTAGCATTAAAATTAGTTTTCTTGTGCCTTTCAACGAAAGACTGGTATTGTTGAGGCTATGCTGCAACATGCAACACATTAAAGTTAGAAAATGAGCGCTGGAGTTTGCTTTCCGTACACCCTTAAATAAAGCCAAAATTTTTGGAATGTCCAGCTTGCGCAAGGTCAGTTTGCTCTGGGACACAGCGTGGCTTTTCACCGCTACAAAAAACAATAATGTATGGATAGTGAAGCAGCTCGACACTTGAACACGCGGTACGTTAAGAACCGAAGGGATCGGTGACCGAGTGGGCCAGCTCACATTAGGGTCACTAAATTAGCTATGCTTAGGGTATCGGCACTCTGTTTCCCGATATTGTTATGGGCGCCGCCGATTGCCATGATTCAAAAGTGCGACTTCCGCGGCGTTAGATTCGGCGTTAGGAAGCTCATGTGATATTTCTTTGCTCTGTCGCGAAATATTTAAACATTTGTAGATGATAGAAAAGCGTTTCCTGTAATTTAAGTTAACGCTTCAGATAAATTGCAACCATGATTTTAAGACCAAAATGGGTAAGAGTCGTTACATTGAAGCTATATCTTATTTGTTCACACTAGCGCACTGCAGCTCGGAGCACGGGCTCCGAAAGTTCGCTTTGCTGTAGAACCCAAAGGTCCTGGGTTCAAACCCCACACTTCCCGTTTCAATCTGGATGAGTATTGTACCGGCGTGCGGTTGAGGATCACTACTGCGTTGAGCACGTTAAAGACCCCAGCATAGCGATGCATGCGTTGAGCACTGGCTAATTTTCTCATTTATAGATGAGACAGCAGACGCCAACTAAAGCCGACTAACTTCCGGCTGTATAAACATATACATATATATACAGGGTGTCTTTTGTTTTTAAGCTTTACAGACTTGTTTAAAAAAAAAAAAGCAGTGAAAGTTATATTTGGAAGACAGATGCGAAGGAAAAAAACATTTTTTTTTTAAACAGCCGGGCTGGGAAAAGGAAGTCATAAAGCGAATTTATAAATTTGCTTCATGACTTCCTTTTCCCAACCCGGCTGTTTAAAGAGATGTTTTTTTTCCTTTGCATCCGTCCTTCAAATGTAACTTTCACGGCTTTTTTTAAACAAATCTGTAAAGCTTAAAAACAAAAGACACCCTGTATATATATGTATATGTGTATGTTGTACAACGAAAACGAAAACCGCTAAATCATTGAAAAACAATAAATCAACTCTTTTTAGAACGACTTGAAGCTCGTGGGACACTCAAGGGTGCGCAAAGTGACCACTCCTCTAGAAGGCGCAAAGCTAGCAGTGGCGGAACGCGATGATAATCTAATCATGTGCGTTTTGCCACTGCTAACCTTGCACCTGCTTCATGAGTGGTAACTTTGATGCGCCGCCGGGTGTCCCACGAGCCTCAAGTCGTTCTAAAAAAAGATGATATTGTGGTTCTCGATGACGCTCAGTAAGTTTCTAATTGGAACCAATGTCTATTTTTATTAATTAAAAACTTAATTAACGAATTTTGTTTAATTAGCCGACTTATCGCAAAGATTAACCACCCACATAATGTCCACCTGGCCGTATAACTCACCTGAACAAACCGCATCAGTGTAACTTTCACGGATTTTTTTAAACAAATCTGTAAAGCTTAAAAAACACCCTATATATATATATATATTTTTTTTTTTAAGAACCACTTTTTTTTTAATGGTCAAAGTGTGTGAAGCCAACAGCATATGCCTTCGCGAAGCGGCGTCACACTCGGAGGCCGCAACCTCGGGGTATTAACTGGACAGCATAGGGTGCCTCAATGTCCTTCTGTTTAGGGTGATGCCACCCTTTGTAGTACCCGATGCCGACAGCACGCGCTCACTGGGAAAATACAAAGAAATCGACGAAAACAAAATGTCGCCGTAGCACAGTCAGCGCCACGATCGCGTGCAGGGACAGGTTCTTTCACGCGCTTCTGAACAAATAATAAAAATAAAAGTGTGAGACAAAATGGCCAGATGTCTCCACCCTAAGCAAAGCGCATATGAAGGCACCCTAGGACAGCATATTTGAGTGCGCTGTTTAAAGCGCGTGCTCAGGACGATCTCACATTAATCGGATGCTAAGACCGACAATTATGAGTTCTTGACGGTGTGGAATCCAGGTTGCAAAGATACTCTCAAAGCTCGGCGTCAGCACGCGCTCAGCAGTCGCGCACAACGCTATGGTCATCGGTGAACGCTCGCTTCCGACCTTTCCGGAAAATACCAGGAGATCTCTCGTGCCGAATAAAACGCTTCGTATAGGCTCGTAGCTCTCAAGTTTTGAGCAGCGCTCCAGGCGAGCGAAGTAGAATATTTGGACCGCGTTTGGAACATGGGTCAATAAGCTTCCCTACTACAGTTATTTACGCTCCGTTCCATTCTAAGTGCCAGCGTAGCAGAGGCTACAGAAGCGAGCTGCGAGCTTTCAGCGTCCCTGTCAAGCACGCGCGCTCCTGCAGTGCGAGCATCGTTCGGGAGTACGTGCGTTTGCGAGTAGCTTCGGCTTCGCTATCACACAAAGTGAAATATACGTGCTCGCGGAAGCTATGAAAGAATGCAAAGATGAAAGGAATGTTTTAGGAAACGCTGCGGCCGCGAGCTGCATATATTTTTTTAAAATTTTTTTAGATGTTTTGTCACCCCGTATCTACAAATGCTGACAGATGTTTGTATTCGAACGTGGCACGCGCAAAATCGAACGTTACAGAGCCACCTGGATGGTGCAGCCAGCATAACATAGTCGCGTCTTGGGTAAGTATTCCGGAGGCGCGCGCGCCCCCTGCCCCAGGGCAACGGGTCTATACACTGGAATCATCAGGAGCTTAGAACGCGCAAGAAATCAAGCGAACACAAAATGAGGTCACCGCATACCCTGTTTGCCTTTCCTTCTGCCTCCTCTGTGATCTGAAATCAGAAAATATTAATCAAGCGTCAACTTGGTCTTTGATTCCTGGATATCCTGGTGCGCCTTATATACACGTCGGAGCGTCACAGTGCGTCAGCAGACTGGGGGGGGGGGGGGGGGGGGGGGCGCCACATATTTCCGGAAAGGTCTATTCGATTTGAAGCCAATCCCGAGTGGCCGTAGACGCGCTGATTGGACATGAAGCCAATCTGAACGCCAACATATCACTCGTGTCCAATCTGTGTCTGAGATCGATCCCGCTGGAATGACGTCACTATTCTAGTGCACATGTTGTGATTGCTCTCGGGGTTGTCGGCAGAAGCGTCCCTCACCATCGAGACTGGGAGTCATTCAATAACAGCCAATCGCTGAAGTCGGCGGGCGAGCATCCGCTCTGGTGCCACGACCTTTCGGCAGAATGCACTGCAGTTGCAAAAACGAACGCTGACAAGCGAGCATCCGCTGTAATGGATGGGTACGGAGAAGCTCGTTTAGGTCGCCCACGGGCGTAAACACCTGTAACTGCAGCGGTGTTCACGTGCGTGAACACCTGTAGCAACTGAAGCGAAAAGCACAGGGCTACATAATTAAAGCGTGAGCTATTACTTTGGTGGCGTCGCTTAGCTCAGTGTCTGAAGCAAGAAATGCTGGACAGGACAGGAAGACGTAGCCGTATAACCGTGGTTCGATTGCCTGCACTGACGTCAAGCCTGTTGCCATTCTGGTGGCCATGACCACGTGTCTTTTTCAGCGTAAACTGTGTACTATGGCATTTCTTCTCTTTTTTCAAGAAGTAAAATGCACACCAGCAGGGTGAAAGGACGTTGCGTGCAAAGTCACTGGCTACTGTGCCTGAATAGGAAACGGAACGGGAGTCACTAAATAGGAAACCTATTCAGTGACTCTGGTGCAAAGGTCTCGGAACTTTATGACTAAGAGACCGGGATCAGGGCCTGTCGCAGTTTCGAAAGTCATAAAGTAAACGAGTGAACGTAAATCAGAAAAAAAATCACAAAATAAATAGACCTAGATAAGCATTAGCATCGTACCGGCGTGCTGTCGTGTATCAGTACTGCGTGGTGCACGTTAAAGACCCCAGGAGTT